ACCTGCTGGGGCTCCGGCGATCCTTCCGCCTCAGCCTTCCAAGTAGCTGGAATTACAGGTAATGCGTACTTTTTGATAAATAAGTACTGTTTTCCTGGGTCTCCCCTTGTATGCCTAGGAGTGGAATCGCAGGGTCCCAGGCATGTTGAATTTCAGTAGACACTGCCAGTTTTCCAAAGTGACAAGACCATTTTGTGCTGCCATCAGAATGAATGAGAATTCCAGTTCCATATGCTCTCCCACAGTTGATACTGTCAGTCTTTAAGATCTAGCCACTCTGATAGGCTGGTAGTGGCAACTTATTGTGGCCTTTAAACATTTGTTTTTGGAGACAGGGTCTCACTCCACTGCTCAGGCTGGAGTGTAGTGGCACAGTCGTAACTCACTGCAGCCTTGAACTCCTGGCTTCAAGCCATCCTCCTACCTCAGCCTTCTGGTAGCTGGGACTACAGTCATATGCCATCACACCCAGCCATTTTATTTTTATTAAATTTTTTCTCTTTTTTTTTTTTGTGGAGCCACAGTCTTGATATGTTGCCCAAGTTGGTATTATTATTATTATTATTTTTTTTTTTTTTTTTAGTTGGAGAGTCGGAGTCTTACTTGTCAACCAGACTGGAGTGCAGTGGCACGATTATGGCTCACTGCAGCTTCAACCTCCCGAACCACCATGCCCAGACCCTAGCCTAAATACAAATTTTTTTTTGGTAGAGACAGGATGAACCTTTTTTTTTTTAAAGACGTGGCCTTGCTATATTACCTGGTCTGGTCTTGAACTCCTGGCCTCAAGTGATTCTCCTGTCTCAGCCTCCCAAAAATGCTGGAATTACAGGTGTGAGCCACTGCTCCCAGTCCTCATTGGGTTTTAAATTACATTTTCTTGATAAGTAATGATATAGAAACTCAGTCTGTCGCTCAGCCTAGAGTACAGTGGCATGATTATGATGATCATGGCTCACGGCAGCCTCAACCTCCTGGGCTTAGATGATCCTTCCTCCCTGGCTAATTTTTTGAATTTTTTTTTTATTGAGTTGGAATCTCACTCCATCGCCCAGGCTGGAGTGCAGTGGTATCTGCTGGACTCTGGCCATCCTTCTGCCTCAGCCTTCCAGGTTGCCGGAACTACAGGTGCACACTACCACGCCTGGCTAATTTTTAATTCATTGTAGAGACCAGGTCTCATCAAGTTGCCTGGGCTGATTTCGAACCTGCGAGCTCAGACAATCCACTCGCCTCGACCTCCCAAAGTGCTGGGATTATAGGCTGAGCCACTGAGCCTGGCCTGATATTTTTGAGAGAGAGAGTTTCACTGTATTGCCTTGGCTGATCTTGAACTCCTGGGCTCAAGCAGTCTGTCTGCCTTGGTCTCTCAAAGTGCTAGTATTATAGGCATGAGCCATCATGCCTGGCCCTGATTAATGGCCATTTCAATATCATTATTTTTGTGAAGTGCTTGTTCAATGTTTTATCCATTATTAGTATTTTAAAAAGTAAAATGAGCTGGATGTGGTGGCTCATGCCCTCAATCCCAGCACTTTGGGAGGTGGAGGTGAGAGGTTTTCCTGAGCCCATGGTTTCGAAACCAGCCTGGGCAACTTGGCGAAACCTGGTCTCTACAATAAATCACGAAAAATTAGCTAGGTATCATTAATTGTGGCACGTGCCTGTGGTTCCAGCTACTTGGAAGGCTGAGGCGGAATGATAGCCTGAGCCCGGCCAGGTCGAGGCTGTGGTAGCCGTGAGCGTGCCACTGCACTCCGGCCTGGGTGACAGTGAGACTCTGACTCAAATAGATAGCTAACTAGCTAGCTAGCTAGATAGATAAGATTTTTTGAGTGTGGTGGCAGGTGCCTATAGTTCCACCTACTTGGAAGGCTGAGACAGAAGGATCCCCTGAGGGGCAGGTCAGGTCTGCAGTGGCCATGAGCATGCCACTGTACTCCAACCTGGGCAACAGAGTGAGACTCTGACTCAATAATAAATAAATAAATAAATAAATAAATAAATAAATAAATAAATAAAAGTGAGCATGGTGGCATGCACCTGTGGTTCCAGCTACTTGGAAAACTGAGGTGGAAGGATTGTATGAGCCTAGCAGGTCAAGGCTGCAGTGGCCATGAGCGTGCCACTGCACTCCAGCCTGGGTGACAGAGTAAGACTCCAACTCAAATAAATAAGTAAATAAATAAAAGTTAGCTCGGCGTGGTGACGTGCACCTGTGGTTACAGCTACTTGGAAGGCTGAGGCAGAAGAATTGCCTAAGGGGCAGGTCAAGTCTGCAGTGGCAGTCTGCGGGCATGCCACTGCACTCCAGCCTGGGCAACCTCATGAGACTCCGACTCAAAAATAAATAAATAAAATTAGCCGGGCATGGTGGCGTGTGCCTGTGGTTCTGGCTATTTGGAAAGCTGAGGTGGAAGGATTGCCTGAGCTCAGTGGATCAAGTCTGCAGTGTTCGTGAGCATGCCACTGCACTCCAGCCTGGGCAACAGAGTGAGACTCTGACTCAAATAAAAAATAAAATAGTAAAATAAAATACAAATAAAATAAACAAAATAAATCACTATTTTCTTATGGATTTCTATGTTGATTCTGATACCTTTGGAAATAGGTGTTGTGAATATCCCCTTGTATGCTGCTTGCATTTTCACTTATTGATGTCTTTTAATGAACAGAAATTCTTAATGTTAATGAGGGCTAATTTGCTTTTTTATCTTCTTTTTGTTTAAGGAGTTTTTGTTTTCCCCTTAAAAAAAGTATGCTTAAAATATTTGCAGCTCATTTTTTCTCAACACAGGGGATGCCATGGAGAGCAGCAAGCCTGGTCCACGACAGGTGGTTTTGGTTCACAAAGAGCAGCATTCCTTTGAGCTAGATGAGACTGCCTTGGCCAGCATCCTCTTGCAGGACCACATCCGAGATCTTGATGTTGTGGTGGTGTCAGTGGCTGGTGCCTTCCGGAAGGGCAAGTCCTTCATTCTGGACTTTATGCTGCGATACTTATATTCGCAGGTAAGGTAGGGTTATTTCATTTCAAATTAGAAAATGAGACTTGTGTATCCAAAAAAACAAACCAGAACAAACAGAAAAACCAAACCAAATGAAGCTCATGAAATATCCTTTATGAGTAAAATTTTTTATTTAAGATTTAAGGGAAATTTCTTATTTTTCCTGTAGAGGGAAGATGGCCATTCAAATTGGTTGGGTGACCCAGAAGAACCGTTAACAGGATTTTCATGGAGAGGGGGATCTGATCCAGAGACCACTGGGATTCAGATGTGGAGTGAAGTTTTCACGGTGGAGAAGCCGGGTGGGAAGAAGGTAAGGATGGAAAACACAGATGAACAAAAATAACCACAGAATGAGAACTTCAACATGTATGCTGTTAATCTAATTAAAAATAATTCTTATCAAAGTGTTATAAACGCATAGTTTAAAAATAATCCATGTTGATTGTCTTTAAGATTCTTTTCTTTTTATTTAAGTTGTGGGATACAATTCAGGGTTAGGTATATAAATATTCATTGTACAGGTACCCTTGTTGATGAGGTGTGCCCCCAATCCCCAGGCAGTTTCCTACTACTGCCATTTTCTTATGGCATTATGATAGTTGTTCAGGTCCACTTATGACTGAGAACATGTGATACTCAGTTCTTTGTTGTGGTGAAAGATCACTCAGTATTATAGACCTTAAGTCCATCCAGGCTGCTGCGAAGTTCATCATTTTGTTCTTCTTTATGGTTGTGTAATATTCCATTGTATATGTACCACATTTTTTTTATCTAGTCCTCTTTTTTTGAGTTGGAGTCTCACTTTGTCACCCAGACGGGAGTGCAGTGGCACGCTCCCGGCTACCGCATCCTCGACCTGCTGGGCTCCGGCGATCCTTCCTTCTTAGCCTTCCAAGTAGCTGGAACTACAGGTGCATGCTACCATGCCCAGCTGAGTTTTTTTTTTTGCAGTTGGAGTCTCACTCTGTCGCCCAGACTGGAGTA